TCAGAAGTTATTAGTTGAGTTGCAGGTTTAGAAACCTAGACCTGTCATCTTTCCTGCTGAAAAGGAGTTGCTCATTTCCCCAAAAAAGCATGGCCATTGCTGAGGCTGTCTGCTGAGGATAAACTAGATGTAGATTTGAAAGCCAAAGAGAAAAATGCAGTATTTGTCATTAGGTGCATTCTTAACTCAGTTCTCAAGAAGAATCTGAAGTAATTTGTGAATTCCAAGGTATCTGGTGACACACTTTGCCTTTTTAAGCATTAGCATTTGTATTTACATTCTTCAGGGTTGGCTAAATCCACCTGAGCAAGAGGAAGAAGGTGATAGCTGTCTACTTATCTTGCTAACTCTGCCATTACCTTCCCTCTTTGACTGCAGGATATCAGTTTTTTGCCAGTTCATTTGGCAAAAGATTCTGTACGAGAGATTCTGCAGAGTAGGGAATAAAAGGAAGGAAAAAAAAAATTGCCCTGGCTGCTGGAACTGGAGGCTGAAGGTGTCAGCGTTTCTGGAAATGTCATGTACTGAGCTTCAGCTTCAACAAGGTAATCGTGTAGCCCTGCTACACCCTTGGTCAGACCTGTTTAAGGTGTCTACCTTGGACCTAATGAACACAAGTTGAACTTCAAATTAGCATTACTAACCACCATCTATGCTTACAATAGCTTGGGGTTTACAGTACCACTTTCAGGACTATTGTTATGCTGCTGTGTAGCTACTGCTGTTAGCTAGGTACACAGGTAGCTGTTAAGGTAAATGGTATCTGCTGAGTTTCCCGGTGGTTTTCAGTAGCTTGGGGACAGGAATGAAGGGGATGGAAAAGTGTTGAGGTAACTCAACTGGAGAATCACTTCAAACCATTTTACCCAAGACTTCAAAAATCTTGGCTAGTAATGAGGAACAGACATATAAACAAGACTGCTAACAGTGCTCATACAGTAAGCAAACTTATACTTAAAACTTGTGATTGACTATTTCATCATTACATTTACTTAACTTTCCATAATGTACAAGTTAAGGGTGCCGTTTCTATGGAACATTACGCTCTCTTTGAATCCTCTTTAGGGCACCGTACATGCCACTTGTTAGTGGTGTCAGTAATTTTGTTTTCTAGGGGTTTCAAATTTAACTATGAAAATCTTCTGTGGGCTAAAACTTGGCTTAAATCGTATCTTAGAACATTCTTATTTTCTATGGTCAAAGAGATTTGATCACATGTATTTGAGCTGAATGCTTAAAAAATAAATTTTTTGTACTGATTTGAAGGGTTTTTCTCCTGCTTGTACTAGTCAAATGATCCTTAAGGCGGAACATTCCTCCAAATACTAAAAACAGTTAGTACCTGCTCAATACAGCAGAACTGCAATAGTGAAGCTTCATTGCACGAATTAATGTTCAGCTAACCCTTAGAAAATTTTGACTGTACTCTTGCTACTCTAGGTAGAAGTTACATAGAGCTTGCTTGTGATTATTAGCGATTCTGTTTGAGTTGGCTCTTAAAAAGAGCAGAATGGAGATAACGTTACAGAATTAAGCAATAATAAAATACTTGAGTCCCCTTAATATAGGGACTCAATGTGCATATGCCTGGTAGAGGCATCCTACAACACTAAACTTATTAAAATGCTCACCGTATTCAGGGAATTTTTTGTGTGAGAAAAGCCACATAAGAGTTTAGCCATCTAACAGGTCATGTCACAAGAACAGCTGCCTAGCTGCTGGTAAGAACTTCATTATCTCAGTTGCAATGTTAGTGCCTCAAATGCAAGAATGCATACAAATGTTTAAACATCACAAACAGCGTACCCCTTCCTGTCACAGAGAAGGGGAAAACTTGTCCAGGCTACCAGTACAGGAAAGTAAGTATGGTATAGTAAATAATGTAAAGACTGTTAATTTAGTGATAGTTTCCCTCCACAATACAGGAGACTCCTCACCTCTAGACTTCTTGCAAGTAGCATCTTTAATGCTTGTATGAAGAAATGAAGAATCCTTGTATACAGAATTAGACTACAGAAAAAACAGCTTAGTGTTTGTCCTGTTGGTCTGAAAGAATTAAGTCATTCTGTTCACCTGTAAGCACTATTTTTCTCTGAGTTTTAATATTTCAAGCTTTAACTTAAATACAATGTGTTAGCGAAGGCTTTGTTTGATCCAGTAAACTTTACATATTTTTTGGTAATTTCTTTAGCATAAAGTTTCCTTCAGGAAAAGCTAGAAACCTGCTCACCATAAATATATGCCAAAGGTCCACTGCTAGTCAAGCAATTCAACAAGTGATTTTCTTTAGATATGCGATCTTAACTAGTAGTTCCAGCTCTAATGATAAGTTTCAAAGGAAGTTACAGTGACATTTATATCTGTACCAAATAGTTTGTTCCGATTCAAACTACTCATGATTCACCTCCCTTCAATACTTTTCTCTCAAGGTCTTTGTATGAGTTGCACAGTATTTGCTGTAAAATTTGAGGTGAATCATTTCCTTTTGCTAACTGAAGACTTGAAGTTTCTCACTACAAACACAAAAGATGCTTGCATGTAAACTGGTATCAAGCAATTCATGCAGGAAATTCCTTCTAGACAGTAAGTAACCACCTGTCTTTAAAACTGTAGTTGCCTGACAGCTAAGAAATCATTTCAGGCTGAGCTGGAGTTACAAAGGTCATCAGAAACTTGGAATAATCACTGAACCCTTAAGGAACAAATACCTTCTGTCCAGTGCTGCTGCCCTACCTTAGCAGAGTGGTGACTGAGGTATGGGAATAGAAATAACAATACTGGCGGGTTTAGGCATGTGACTTTGACAAGTCACTTAAATTTAATTTCCTGGGCTTCATTCTCTTACCCTGTGTCACTGCTTATTTATGTGGAAACGTGCAATTGCAGCAATGTAAAAGAATCAGGCCAGCCCAGGAGGCTTTTGGTAAAATAAGAACTATGTAAAAAATATAGTAAAATAATTTTCATAGTTTCCAATTATGAGAATTAGTTTGATGTTTGCAGGGCGGAAGAAAAAACCACCACCAAAAATTCTTCCTTAAAGGCACTGCTTCTGTTGTTAAAAATCAATCATGAGAACTGCATGTCATCAGTATGTACAACCATTAAACCTGCGCAGCACTACTTGAGCAATGATGCAGCAGTGGATTTACATCGTCTTTTCCTCTCTTGCCAAACTGTCACCAAGGAAGTGATGCTACTACACGAGCTGCTGTTAACAAGTCTGAACAGGTGACACTATCTCCCATTCCTAGATATTTTAAAGGAAATCAGTTGTCAAAGGCTCAAAAGCACTTTGAAATTTAAGAAGCAGCGCAGGTCCTGTAGTTCAAAGGGAAATATGTTGTTCTGATAAATGAAAATGCTAAAAAGGAATGAAGACATTGCACAGTCTCATCCAGAAGCTCAGGAATTGTTAGTTACTTTAGGTTGAAGTCTTGCCTATAAAAAAAATCCAAAGACTTTTTAGGTATTAATATTAGATTGTGTAACACCCACTTAATGATATGGGTAACAGTGTAACATTCTTGATACCATTTAATAGCAATGAGAAAGCAGACTAACAAGGGACTGCCTCTTAGCCTTTCATAGTTGGTCCTATTGCTTGCTCTATTTTTTTTTTTTGTAGCTACCTTGTTTCCAGATGTCAACACTATTACAGGCAGCTGGGGAGTGTTCTCTGTGAAGGCTATTTCATGAGACAAGCACAGAGCCATTTCAGTCTTTACTGTGGAGATTTATCCTATTTGTTACATTCGTTTAGGTTCCTGCATGCTGAAGAAAACTTTCAGCCAGCTTGTTTAATGTTACTTTGAAAACCATTAAGAAGCTTCCCCTGTAGCCCCCCCCCCCCAAACCTTGCCATGCAAAACCAACACGATTGGCTACATTAATAATCACGTTAATGACATTACTGAGAAGCTGCCATTTTTACATTACTACTTACTAGATAACACTACTCAAAACAGTACTATATACATCTACTCAAAGGTCTGAAAAATGTCCAACAATGTTGTTATCAAGTTCTTACCTTTTCTCTGGAAAATCTCTTTCCTTCTGTTGGTAACTAAATCCAGGGTGAGAGCAGCAGCTGCTTGTTTATCCAGATATAGTTCTGTGTAAATGAAACATCTTTCCTTTTCTCCTAAGTAAATTAATACAATCAAGTTGAACTTGTTATTAACCTGAGTAGAGATTCTGCTTTATAATTGAACATTATACTAATCCTACATTTCAGGGTTTTTTTTCTTCTGTACATGATACCATATATAAAGTAAGTGCAAGTTTTAACTTTAGGAAACATAATTTGCTACATAATTTAGTAAACATAACACCATACATCTATTGAGGAGTGAAGCTACATCTAAGGTTGTAAGAATGCAATAATATAAGGAAAATCCAATATATCCAGCCACTTACAAGTCTCTGGAGATACCCCCTAGTACCTTTATATATATTCAGTATTAATCTTCCCTGGGAGTGAGAACTTTGTGTGTTTATGTTTCTATACATATATGAAATGAACACACACGCACATTTATGTTTTCATAATGTTCAGAAATTTAATTATTCTTGCAAAATAAACATTTGCTACTGGCTAATTCTGTAACAAATTTTTGGTTTTTTTTGTTTAACACCTACAGTACTCTAAGATTGCACAGCACCAAAAGAGATACACCTGCTTGATAGATTTTTTTGAGGATATTTAATATCCTCTCAGTTCTCACATATGCAAAAAAGGTACAGACCATGCAGCAGGTTAACCTTATGAAGAAGTTTGAGGAAAAACACCATATGCAAAGGAAAGCCCAAGAGCACCTATTCCTAAATATAATAAGCCCTGTGTGTATGTTTAGGCTTAAACTTTAATGCTTTATGGCAGTTTTATTAACTCAGAACTGACTACTGCTGGGCATAGGGAACTCTGGTTTGGCCTGTCAAGCTAGTGAATATGGAATGCATTGAGATATGAAAAGAGAAAGTGATAGAGTAAACTTCACTTAAACATTAATAAAGAAAATAAATGGCTATAATGTCAAATAACATACAGTTCATCCTATGTCCAGAAGCCTTTCCTATCAATTTAGTTCAACTTTAGTAGCTACTGTTGTTTCTCCTTGTAGGTTCTGAGCTATACAAATGTAGTTTCCAGCATCTTTGGCTTCAAAATCCTCAACAAGAAGAACACTCTTTGAGATTCTTGTGGTATGTCCAGTTCCTCTGTTTATCAGTCTCCAGAAGTTTTGGATAATGACAGGCCTCTCAGACTGTTTAACAGAAAAAAAGAAAACCCACCCATGTAAGAAAATACATGATTTTGCAAAATGCATTTAGTGATACTACCCTATCAAACCCTGAAGCAAGAGGCTGGATTGTAGGAGCCTGTATCTAGAACTCAGCCTTAAGTGAGGAAACTGGAAGAGTCTGGCAGTTGCAGCAGTGTTCCTGCAATTAAATATTGACACACCAATAAATTATGTCAAAGAAGGTACACTCAATCCAACTGTCCATGTTGCCATAATCAAGTACTACAGCACACTTAATGCAAGCCTAAGTTAGTTTTTAAACACAGCAAGTGGTATTTCCCTGACCCTCCTGAAAGTGAAGGTAAAGGCCATGTAAGGCAGATGATTGCTATTTGCCTGGTTGGGCTCCTGCTAGCCTGGTTTTTCTCAAACTAATTGCCTTCTGCTTTGAAGCTAGTTTCAGGGAATCAGTATACATTCACAACAGGTGAATGAGCAAATGCAATTGTCAGGGAGTGGCAAGGGAAAAAAAACCCCAACCTCCAACTGAGTGGAAAAAAGTAAGAGGGAGAGGTTAGTGACTAACAAGAGATGAGATGAGGGTCTCTCTCTCTCTTTCCCCAATGCAGTGTACCTCAGAGCAAGCAGGGATTAAAGTGCTGCCTCTGCTCAGGGATCAAGTGGTAGGTGACAGCCCAGGTGCTGGGTGCGGTGGTGGGGAACAAAAACTATCATTGATCTCCCTGCACTGACAGCAGCAGCAATGAATGGAAACAGCCAGTGAATCTTAGCTCTGTCAGTCCTTCTTCTTGCACAAAAGAAGGTGTATCTGACTAGCATCACTGATAGTCTGGTCTCCCTGCACTCCCCACCTTTTTCCTTCACAATATGTAAATACTTCCTTAATACATGTTAAGTCTCCAAGATCCATATAGTTCTTCTACTCTGACATTTACTTAATCATTTTATTGGGGCAGAAACCCAAACACAATTCTTCCCTCCTTCTCCCGAGGCCTAGCTGGAGCTGAGACCGTTTACTCCAGTGGACAAGCACATCAACCCTCTCCAGGGCAGATGCAGGCCATAGTCTCTGAACCCCTGTAGGTGGGTGCAGCAACAGGGTGTAGTCCTCTGCTGATAGCACGTAGGCCCTGCACTGCAGCTGCAGTATCCACAGCAAACAAGGGAGATGATTTGCATGTGGTCAGCTGTTTATTTTCAATCAGTGCTACAGAGGTGTGACTGTAGTGCACGTGCCAGGGCTTCATCAGGTGCTAAGACCACTGCACCAAGAACAGCCAGCAACCAGGCTTGGGCAGCCATTCAGCTGTGAAAGATGTAAAAGTAGCAAGGGGTGAACACTAATAAGATACAGAGTTCCAGAAGGCTAGGTAAAGTCTCGAATTTACATCCTTCAATTATTTGGTCTTAGTAATTACAGCTAGTTGCAAAAGACATAAAACTGGGATTTGTATAGCCAGTTACTACAGTCCAGTAAACTGGGAGAGAAGCTGCAATGGAAGCTTAAGAAAAAAACCAAACCACCAAACACAACCAAAAAACAAACCAATGAACATACACCCTCCCAAAAAAAACCCCACCCAAACCACAAAAAAAAAAAAACAAACCCAAACCCACCAACCCAAATACACAAACCCCAAAAACAGAAAACCTGTTAAAAATGCTAATGTGGTCAGCAGGGCCATTTCTTCTCTTCCCCACCCAAAAGAGGGAGAGAGTGAATCATTGTCAGAGTTAAAGACCCGTCTGGAAGGACAGAGACATTGCCATTTGTTGATGTATCTCACTCCACAGTAATGCTAAGAGCTGAATTCAGAGGAAGACATTGGGCATTTAACTCAAAAAAAACCCCAAACCACTATTGCTCTGCGGCTCCCTGAACTTGGAGGCACTTCAGTTTTCCCTAGCATTTTAATTTTTAGTTCACTGACTGCTGCAAGTTTCTCTGTTCATTTAGACATCTGCCCCTTTACTTCCTAACTTCAAACAGACACCAGAAGCAGAAATTCTACCAAACTCTTGCAGTGCTCCATCCAGTAGTTACTTTACAGATCACATAACTCATGCCATCAGTACCAAGCCCCTCAGCAAACGCAATTGAGGCTGCCCTCATTTAAGAGCCAGGACAAGGCGGGGGGGCAGAAGTTGGCTCAAACTCTCAGACTT